TATTGAACTGGAGACCAGTGATGCAAAGAGAGAATCCGGATATGTCCATCTCGACCTTGGGTTCAGCCAGGGGGAGCCGCCCAGAAAGTAATCTTCTTTATGGTAGAGACGCAGTGTTTTGACCTGAGGGGTTTGTTCAATTAGCCTTGACAACTCAAAATATCCCAGAGTCGGTCCACTCTTGTAAAATAAAAGACTCTCAACGTCAACATGCAGTTCTTTGACCTTGCTAACGTAGTTAGTGGAAAGAGAGTCTTGGGGCTTAGCCAGTAGCTGTAACAAAGCATGGGCCTTAGCTGCTGGCAGGAGGGGAGGACAATGATAGAGAGCCGCCAGCGCAGGTTCATGAAACGCATGACACATCAAAGCAATGTTCACGAGCCACTGGACTGAGCTATCCCTACTCGCGGTCTTTTCATCCATTAGTGGGCTCGCTGCACAGGAGAATATATCAAAGAGTATGTGGTATGGGAGAGTTTGCCATGGTGGAATGACCCCCGAAGTAACAATCGGCGTATTATCTTCCTCAACCTTCCTACGTTTTTTGAGCGGTCGGCCAAGCTCGATACGTCTCCGACCTGTGCGCTTTTCCACGTTCTTTGTCTGGGAGCGAGTCTTCACCGTTCGGTTGCGCGGGGCTCGTGATGGCGCGGATCGACTGTTCGTCTCAGTAAACGGGTAAGTAAGATGCTCAGGAGCGTCAATCGTAGGGACTACAGCCTCCGGCTCATCATTGGTGGCATCAAAGTCATCGTCAGTGGATTCCTCACGGTAGGATTTGGGCATGCGAGCTGAGTTGCGGGGGCGCAGCGAGAGCGACAAGCGCCTCGCTCGTTCCTCGTCTGACTGGGTATCCTCGTCATCACGACCTTCGGAGCTGCTTTCTTCATGGTAGGATTGGACTTGGGTGCGACTGGAACGGATGGGACGAGACGATCTCGATGACGGAGCCATAGCGAGACGAGTGAATTGATTTAGTAGTAGGCGGTGTGAGAGACCACAGGGAGTGGCAGGCGGCACAGGAGCTGTTGCTGCTAGTGCGGCTGCTACTAAGCTCCAGGTGGTGTACGGTAGGCGGGATGCAGGGGAGAGGATCGCATTTCATCTGGATGAACACCAAGGAAGATGAGAAGAGAGAATGAGAAGAGTAGCTAGGGAAAGAGAAGGTGAGTTTGTGAAGAAGGATAGGATGTAGGAGAAAGAAAGAGGAGGTGATTTACGGAGTAGTGAGTAGGAAAAGGAAAGAATGATGTCGCCGTTCCAGGACCATCGCAGCTTCCCAGTTGGGGAAGGCGGAAAGGCGGACAGGCGGGAGGCGGGAGGCGGGAGGCATTATCGATAAGGGGGGTTCGGGGATTCACTAGTGCCGAAGTAGACTAGCGGGGGAGACATGTGACGAGTGTGACGGCGTGACAGGACCAGGCATCAAGTTCCCCCGCCCTGAGGCCACAACGCTAGACTACAACAGGCATCGCAGCATAGGCCTGAAGTCCCGAAATAGAAACAAGTCAAGTCAGCTCCTCCCAATCGAGTTATCACCGGCTTTCTTTAAAGCGCCGCCGTCGGCCAGCCACCTTCTCCTCTTTTTCTCCTCCCCCTTCCATTTGGCGCCTGGCGACAATGCTCTGTCGGTCGAACCTTCGTCGCCGTCGTCGTGGATTGATGCTTACAATCCCGAGCGGGTATCATCTTTGCTTGTTCTGACACTTGCGAGACAAACACCCCCCCGAACTCCCCTAAACCATCGATTGTTTCCCATGCGCACTACTCGTCATTGGGCTGGTCCCTAATTTTACCCGTGCGGTTTGCGATCTGATAGGGTCTTACGACGTCGGCGCGTGCTGGAAAGAAGATCTGCCCTATCTCATCTCCCATTGAGTCAAAAGCTAAATCCATATGATACTACTTACTCCTCCACCTTCCCTCCTATCCTTCTTATTATTCTGATTATCATTATCATTATCATTACTACTTCCTGTGTTTATCATTGCACCAACATCTCTCTATTGAATATATAGAATCGCTTTCAATCCGGCGATTTTTCTCTCCTTTCTTTTTCCCTTTTCTTGTCCACATAATCACAGTGTTTGCTGTTTGCTTGCTTTCTGTCACAAAAGAACCATCAAGATGGAATCCTCCTTTCCCAACGTGATGAACCAATCTGTGCCGCCGGAACGGACTGAATTAGGGCCTCCACCCATGGTCATCCAACAGTACGCAAGGTATCCTCCGGCTCTGGAGCCTGGTTTACATAGCGCTTCTCCCATAGGCAGTGCTCGCACTCACATAGCTCCCTCAAAGTCTCCACCTCTGGCGCGCAAAGCTACCCCGCGCAGTCTTCAGGCATCGCCAACCGGCCCACGGCCGATAGCGCCGCCACCTCCTCCACCTGCAATGGTGGCGCACTCAGGACCCTCGATCTCGCCTCCAATGTATGATTCTATTCGTCCACGGCCGCCACGGGAGTCGATGGACCAGACAGAAACACGATCCCTGCCATCTCGCGATCTGACTGACAGCTCCATTGATGACGCCTACATCATGTTTGTCTTCTATTGCAATCCAAATGTCCCTTTGTCCGTGGATACCTCAGAGCTCCGCAAGAACTTTCGCTGCCCACCCCGGAGTGATGGCAAGAGTTTCAGTATATTCGCATTGTGGGAGCTTATTCGGAAGCTAGATAGTAAGGAGCTAAAGACATGGATACAACTGGCGATCGAGCTGGGGGTAGAACCGCCTTCCCTGGAGAAGAAGCAGAGCACCCAAAAGGTCCAGCAATATGCTGTTCGACTCAAGGTTTGTTGCTAATGTTATTCCGGACAGAATGTATGGCTAGAAGACTAACCAATCGCTAGCGCTGGATGCGCGCAATGCACGTTGACGCATTTTTCGAGTATTGTCTTGGTCATCCGCATCCCTATTACACCCACCTTCCGCCTGCCAATGTGATCAGCGACAGCCGTGATGGAGTACCACTGGAAGAAGATCTTGCGCTACGGGCTCTGGTTCCGCAATGGAGGCCGAAGAGGGGCCGGAGGCGAGCCGAGGAAGAAAACGAAAGACTAGCCATGGCGAAAAGGCCCCATCTCGATCCAATAATGGGCGTGCTGCAGCCAGGGCCATTCCCAGGTCCTCCAGCATCATATCCACCAGGTGCGCTGCCATTTAGCGCCTTCCCTGACGAGATGGGATCGCATGATCCGTGGATGGGCAGCGCACCTCCATTCCCACCGGAAGGGACTTCTGAGCCTTCGTCGCAGTCGAACCAGGACCTGCGGTGGCGACCTATCGAACGAGATTCGTCCCCAGGGAGTTATCCGCATTCTGCTATAGCACCCAGGAGCCAGCATGAGTCTAAAGTCTTCATTCAACCTGCAGAGCCGCGCTCAGCGGTCACAATGTCTTCTTCCGGGGAAAAGGCGCGGCCTAAACGACGCCATGGCCCCGCAGTGTCATCTGCCTGGCCTAGTAACACCGGTAGCAATGGAAAGACCAGAGGTCGGCCACCAAATCGAGGGACTGTCTCTGGACCATTCTCCTCGTTCCCAGTTAATCCGAATCGCACTGATCCATCCCATTTACCGGGTCCAGGGCTTCGGAACTCCCCTGCCATGCTCCTCGATCAGGACCCTACCGGTCGATTCAATCACTCCCCTTTCCAGCAGTCCCCTACGCCGTTCCATTTCGGTCCTAAGCCAGATAAATTACAGCTTCAGGTACCGCCTCATCCCGGCACACCTGTCCGTCTGGCAACCCCTCCTACCTTAATGGTCAACGGTATCAACAATGCTCCTGGGTCAACGAAATTGGAGGGACAAGGACCGCAGCGTAACGGTACTCTGGCTCCTCTAAACGACTTCATGAGCAATGTGGGCGTCACCAACCCATCTGCCTACGCGAACCGCAATAGCGTACCAAATGCGGATATATCTTCCGATGATGTTGTACGTGCACTGTCAAGCGAACTTCTTCGCGGGAAGACCACCGGTCGGTGTGCTCCTATTAGCACTGAAGAAGCCCGGGCTCTAGCAATGTCTGTAGTGTCCAGCTTGACCACTACATATGCCAAGCTACCAGCCGGCTTGGCGGCGCTCATGTCCGCCTTGCATCTTGGGCTTGGACAGCAATTTGGCTATCCAGGGGTGACGGACAGCTTGATGACTGTAAATATCGAGTCAGGGCCTGCTGTAACCTCAGGCACACCAAGCACCGACGGGAGCCCCAACTATGTGTACACCATCTCTCATGAGTATAAGCACGGACTCCGGTTCTCAACGAAGGTTACGTACGGAGACCTGAGCATCAGCACCCCGACTCCGGACAGTCACAAGCTGGACTTTACGCCCCGGGTAACCGAGGAACTTGAAGCCAGCATCGCAGAAGCCGACAGCATGACAGATGCGGAATTCGAAGTGGATGCGGAGAATTCCACCCCCGACGCAACGTGGAAACAACGATACCTCAAGCTCCGAGCGCAGGTGCAGCGAAAGGAGCGAATGTTGTCGCAATATAAGCGCAAAATCCTTGAGTCTGTGATGGCAGACATCTAAGCTCTGTGAGCACTGATCGTTCACAGAGACATACCCCTTGTGGTCGGCTCCTAATCCCCTCCCAAGCCCCCTCCCTCGACTTGTTGTGATACCCTATACAGTATATTCCTATGTAAATTGTCGAGGTCCACCTGAACACACTTATAAAACTTCATTTTCTCCTATGCTCTCGGTTGTCTGTCTGTTTGTCTGTTGGCTGGAGCCAAATGGCGCTCTCCTGCTGTTTGTTGGTTTCGGTTCGGTCTTCTTTACAGATACCCCTTGAGCGAACTTGTCCGATCTGCTTCACAGCTTGTTAGTTAGTATAAAATATCTTGATACCATCAATGTTTAGTTCATATTTGCAGTAACTGAAACCCTATGCAAGTCCTGAAGTCCATCATAGTATCCTGTTGGAGTATCGCATGATTCGATATCCATCCTTTATCTCCCAACCTAATAACAACCAAGCCCGCAAGTAAAAGTCACGGCGCATCCAACCTCCTTCTGCCCCATCATTGACAAACCAGTAACTCATCCTCCCCTGAACTTGAATTGCATCATCCACCCAACCGACCAATCAATCAAGTAATTCAGGGCAATTGAAAGCAAAGCCCTCAAGCCTCATCCACCTCCACATCATCGCCCTCAGCCCCCTCCTCATCATCCATAGCCTCCTCCTTCACAGCCAACTCCTCACCATCACCATGAACCCGATCAGAGAGTCCCTCCTCCCACAAAGCCGCCCTCACCTCCTCATCCTCCTCGGTTTCATCATCGTCTTCCTCCTTCTTGATCCCAACACCAGCATGCTGCTTCTTCTGCATCAAACTCTCAGCTCTAGCGACAGCCATCTTCTTCAACCCCTTGGCCTTCTTCGATGCATCGCTAATGCCATCGGCCTTGCGCTTTCTGCCCTTGGTAGGTGTGGATGTAGTCGTGCTCTCTGTAGCGGTAGTATTGCTGGTACTACTAGCCCCGGTCCGTTTCTTAGCGGGCGTGTTGTTGGCAGAGGAGAGTGGGCCGCCTGAGGTGTTGATGCCGTGTGATTTCAGGAGGCGTTCGTAGCGCTTGGCTCTGTTTATATTTAGTGGTAGAAGGTTAGTGGGGTAGTGCGCGTAGTATAGTATTCGTGTTTATTTGTGAAATGTGGAGGATCATGCGATTATGATATTGGGTTGGAGGAAATATGTATTTAGTATGTGTGTGTGAATGTGTATATGACTGGGTTGGGAAACTGAAGGGACAGGATAATTAACGTACGCAGCGGCCTTGGTGATGATATTGCATTCTTGTGCGACGACGGTGAAGTCAATCTTTTTGATTGTTATATTAGTCTGTTTTGCTCTGGGAGGATATGATGAGATGGGGTGAAGGGTACGTACCTTGCCGCTGTTAGAGTGGCGGATGCAGCTGAGGAGGAATTGAAGCTGCTCTTCCGGGGTGATGCGGTTGGGCTTGGACGGGGTAGTTGTGGTAGACATGTTGAGCTGGGTTTATTTCTGCTCGATTCAAGTTGCAAGAACGGCGAGGCGTGAGTAGATGTGAGTAAAATCCTCTCGTTTCGTGTGATCTTGGACTCGGTCGAGTGTTAGAGAGGATGATAGCTTGGGAAGGTGTGAACGGTGGATATAGGGATGAGAGTAGGAGAGATAGAGGAGGAGGATGGAAAGAAGTAGGCAGAAAGAAGAGAAGAAGAGGAAGAAGGTGGGAGGGCAGGAACACTGAGACGAGCGGAGGGCTGAGGGAATGTTGTTAGCGGAATCACTGCTGGCTTCGCTTAGGTTTCTTGTGAATGAATCAGATAGTCGACATCCGTCCGGGCGTCTCAGACTGGAAGGTGGAGAAGTGAAGGGTCTCTAGAGAACAGTGATACGATACTACGTTCTGGCACTTCTGAGCAACGGCTATGACGGAGTGGGCAGTCAGTAGGCTAATTTTCTTATTTAGCAGGTATTAGTGCTCTAAGGCTACAGAACCCTCCCAATCAACCCAGCTGTTCAGAATCTGTAAAGGAATCAAGGGTTGTAGAGTAAATTCCCCAACACCAGTAACAACGCAAGCCCTGCAATGTGGTAGGGAAATACAAACTGCGTCAATCTCCAGTCCTTCCAGATAGTCTTCCTTGAAAGTTCTTCGCGCTAAATGGACCTTCCACGACAATGTAGACCAAATGAAGACAATGAAATGAACAAACTATATGGACTCAGTTGTCTGAAATCCATATAAGCGTTCAGCAGAATCGCGCGTAGAAGTTCAAGCCGTAGCACACTCCATGCCATCATCCGGGGTATTGTCTTCCATGAGACTGTCTGCATCGTCTTCCTCTTCCTCCTTCACAACAACAGCCGACTTAGCCCCGCGCTTGCGGTCCTTGGTCTCCGACTTAAGCGTACCAGTGGCAGGGATGGGCTTCGAAGTAGTAGCCTTCGCTCCCTTACGCGCGGCGACTTTTCTGCCCTTGGGCTTGACGGGAGTAGGCACGTCGGAGTCATCAGACTGCTCTTCGACGCCATCACCGGCCTCGGTAGCACCTGCAGCGCCTTTATCCTTATCGCCATTGGCACCTGCACTCTTGAGTACACCAGAGCCGGACTTAGCCTCAATATTGTTCAAATTGTAGCGCTTGCGAATGGCACGGAAACGGTTGCCGACTGAAGCAACATTGCTGTAACCCATCATGTCTCCAACCTTGGTAAGATCGATCTGAAAAAAGCAAGTGGGTATTAGTAGAGCCTATATCTGCGATGAGAGATTATTTTACCTGTTTGTCGTCCCCCATGCACTGCAGACAGGCGAGGAAGAACTGCGCGTCTGCATAAGGGATTTCTAGACCGGCGTTGATGGACTTCGCGGCCTTGGATTTCGTGGCCTTATCCATGGCGAAGGTTAGAGTATTCGGTTTTCTGAATGGTATAACGTAGAGAGGCTATAGGTTAGATGATTCAGATATGAGGAGTGAGTAAAAGTAAACAGGCTAATCACCAAGATGGAAAGGAGATGAAGAGGGACCGTTCGGGTGGTGAATAACAGAGACAAGTGAGAGGTCAAGCCACAAAGCCCCACCGTATAAACACGCCAAAATGTGAGATGCCTCACAGATCAGTTCGATACTATTTCAGGTTAATCGGCGAAGCCAACTCCCGGTCCACTCTCCCAGTGTAGCTGGTAATATCTGTTGGTGGTGGTATGAGGGAAAAGTGAAGCGGGTTATAAGATGCTACGAACCATCAATGTCAAAACTACCGCCCAACTAAAGAATGACTTCATAAGCAAAAGCAATATTATATTTCTGCTATCAGGATAGTCTTAGCAAAGGGACATCGGTCTTTGTGGTCGTTTGTCGAAGCCAGCAACAAATCCCCAGAAAACCCGCTTCCAGATCCCACAAGAACCGAGTTCTACCTGCCACTATCCATCTCAAATGCAGAAACAAGAATTGAGACTGATGTCCGTCAGTCCTCAATGACGGTAATCTCAGACTTTCTGTCCGATAATTCCTCCTTGGCCTCTCTATCTACACTTTTGCCTTTGTCGACCGGTTCTTCTTTGATCTCGTCCAGCTTCTTCTCCTCGTCTTCTGGATCAGACTTATAGGCCTCCCAGCCAACTGAAGCCATAGAAGATGGCAAGTACTGCTGCTCATGATGCTGCTGCTGGTAGAAACTACCTGCAAATCCTCCCATCGGTGTGTACATGTTGTATTCATCCATACTGTATCTGTGCGGGTAGTAGAATCCCCAAGGATATGCCATATGGGGGAAGAACGGTCCCGGATGCATGGCATGAGGAGGAGCGAGAGGTATATCTGCCATACGAGGCATTGTCTCACCGTAACTTTCCTCCTTGACCTCCTCCTTGATTTCCTCCTTAATGGGGACGAAAGGTTCAAAGTCAGGGTAAGAAGTCGCCGGCACAGTCGTGGCCCCTGCCCTACTGGAGCTAGCTCTGGCTGACCTTCTGTTCTCGACTCTCTTAGGACGCGCCACTTTCTGGTTGGGCCCTTGATTTTCCAGCTGGCCTTTGAGCCGCGAGTACCGCATTCTTGCAGCATGCCCATTGGAGATATTCAGCTGCGAGGCAACCAAGGCCCAGTCGATCTACTCAGTTGTCAGCTACTATTACTGTCTTCCAGAGCTTCACCCACGAACCGTTCTCAAGTCCAACTGTTTCATAATGGTGTACAAGAACTTTACGGCCGGCTCATCGACCGACATCATAGACTTGGTGCGTCTGTAGTTGGAAGCGGTGGACGTAGCAGATGATGGATTCGTTGGAGATGCGGAATCATTCTCGGCTTGATGATTCATGGTTAGGTCAGGCTTCAGAGTACCTGCTATGCCAGAAGCACTCATGTCAGGGAGGACAACTCATAGGGGGATATTGAGGAAGGGACGTACCAGACGCACTGGGCTTGACGGTGGTTTTGGTAGGAGTTGGGCTCCGGCTTTCCATCGCCTCAGCTACTCCAACGTATGTACGTGAGTAATTTGGTGACCTCCTGTGCAAGCACAATGGAATATGGAGTGTTCACTGTGGGAGAAAGATGTAGAAGGTGAATGATGAGAGACCGATGTACATGGCTTTGGACCTGATACTTATAGACCTACATTCCAGTACCGGAATAACTTTCGGTATCTTCTACGTTAGTGAATCGAAGTACTGTATTCATGCTTGCCATGAGGACTCCACTTTGTTTCTGACATAGACAGGGTATGTGCAGTTGGACATTGGCTCCATACAGATGCCTAGCGCCCTGTTCCTGTTCATCGTCACGGAATACCGAGCTTGATTGGTGCTACTCACCCGTGCACGCGGGCTAGTGAATCGGACTGCTGGCACAGGATTGGGGGACTGGGTGTAGCCCACCAGAAAACAAAGCCAAGGTTGGGTCTAGATGCACTCTAGGCAGTCGGTTCTGGGTAGTCTATTCATGTTCTGTGAATACAGACAGGGTCTTAGTCCAGATCTCCCATTTCTAGTACTTGTTTGGCACTAAATATATGGGCTCGCTAAGATATAATCATACTTGTGGAAGATATAACTGTGCAATTGATCTGCTATCCCATTAAGAGTGTGTATCATGTCATATCTCATGGTGAGATGCTATTACATACTACTAATATCTCCGTAGAACTGAATTGGGAGAGTTGACAGAACATATACCGAAATATTCACCAGCCAAGGGCAACTGGTAACCCGTGAAAGCTACTAGTAATCAATGGTCCTATTTGTGGCTCTACTTTGCCATTGGAAGTTTCTCGAGACAGCTGTACCTGGAACATTATCTCCAAACACTACTTGTCCTGTCACCTTTAGACTTTACATGCTTTTACACGTATATTATGACAACCTTTATGTTTGAGTAGGCAATGCAGGCACAGATAGCTGCATGATAAATGTTACTAGTAAATAAATCATACTAATATTCCAGAAACGTACCTCTGCCTGTAAACAAAAGTGGATGATTTATCTTTTCATGAAACACCAATTACACCAAAATAATTAGCAGGTAGTACCGATGTCTCATGCTATTTTTATATGTCAACTAGACTTACGGAAGATACCGTGGTTCTGTGCATATTCGCGTGGCTCTCTCCGCGATAACTAGATACTACTAGTACTACTCTTTGGGAGAAGCCGCCAACCGTACGGTTATTTCCACAAATGTCAAATCTTACACAGTGAATACTCACAGAAAGGATTCAAACCTAAATTTGGTGTCACTCTTGCCTGTTCGACCATGTTTCCCTACTGTTTACTTGATCGTGGATCTCCAACTGCCAGCGATGATGTCGACAGTGGGTCCTGACTAATCCCACCACCACAATACCCCTCTCGGCATACAAGGTGCAGATATTCTGCTTCGGTATATCATTTCTCTTTGCAGGACTTACCAAGTGAACAAGATGTCCTTGGTCGCAATAGGTGCATGCTATGTGGATACAATCCTAACGTTGGTTGGCGCCCTCTACTGCTAGTTCCCATCATCTCAGTAGCTAATTCTTCGTATCAGAACACCCCACTATCCTGGAGAAGATGATAAGCTACGAGCTTCCAGTATCTCCCATCGGCGGGGAGGTAACTGCCCAAACTCTCTGGAAGTCCTGAAACAGTTGACAACGAACAGCCCATCAACTGCTGATGTCTCCCTGAACCTGATTGCTGTCCTACCTGCGAAGGCGTCTACTGCTGCTCAAGAGATTCAGTCGGCATTCAAACCGCATGTTAATCTATCTCATTGTATCTTTCGAGAGGCCTTCAATGAGCCTGCCTCAAGTTACATCATCAAGAGTGAATCGTCTGGCAGTCGTACCATTGTCAACTACAATGAACTGCCTGAGATGACGGTGGATGAGTTTACCCAGATTGCAGGCAATCTCACCAACCCAACTTGGTTCCATTTCGAGGTTTGTCATTACATTTATGATGTATTCTCTGGAGCTAACAACTTCGTTAACAGGGTCGGATACCTGACGTGACTTTATCATGTATCCGATATCTCCGTCAGCGATACCCATCCACGACTATCAGCGTCGAGGTTGAGAAGCCTGGGCGCGAGGGATTGCAGAACCTAGCAGAGGAAGCTGACGTAGTGTTCTACTCGAAGAGCTGGGCTCAAGTAAGGACCCCTTGATCAGGAAGTCCACATCATGCGTCCTTCTAACCACCGACTCGTAGGGAAACGGATATCATACTGCTCAAGAATGTCTTCAGAAAGAATCGCCACTGACACGAAAAGCGTATGGTTCTTGCTGTATTTTACACATTGAGTCTAAGAGTGCTAATTTTACCAGGTCCTTGCTGTGCTGCACTTGGGGTCAAGACGGTGCTGTGGCTTTTGAGCCCAAGACACAGACTTCAGTTCATGGTCCTGCATATTCTGCAGCAAACTTTCAAGTCATCGAGTAAGTCGGCTATGTTTTCATCACTCTCTTGTTCCGGGTTATTGTTTGTATTCTTTGCGGCAATTGTTGGATATTAACGATAGTTTCTAACATTGAACCAGCCCGATTGGCGCAGGTGACACTTTTATAGCCGGTATGCTATACGCACTAATCTGTCGAGGAAGTGAATGGAGCCTGTCAGAGAAATTAGGCTTTGCCAATCGACTCGCGGGTATGAAGGTCTCCCAGGAGGGTTTTTCAGGTCTTGCAAGAGCTTTGGACTCTTTCCCTTAGAGTCGTTGTGTATTATTGCAGAGAGTAATCTTGCAGGGCAGTAATATTTCCAGCAGTGAAAATATGTTATGGTGGACTCGAGAGTTGGAGAGCAAAAATTACTACGAGTGCAGCTATTATGTTTCGTGATGAACTAAAAGCAACCATTGAAGCTGCAAAATTAGCAACTTATAAGCATATTGGGCATATTATATAGTTGAGGTGATAAACAATTGGCATGATTGTTGTGATCACACGTGATAAGGATCTAGATTCAACTGTAGGAAAATGCATTCATCACGTGATTAATGATACACGGATGTAGAAGGCGGTCTCAGCCAAAAATTATTCTGCCCGCAGCTTTTTCTAAATTTGCGGGCGATCAACAGATTCGGAGTCTCCAAATCCCTACAACCCATACACCATGGCATCCGTTTACAAGACCATTTCGAAGAAGGCAGCTCGTCAGCTCGCCAAGGAGGAGGAGTTTGATGAGGAGGATGTTGAGATGGAGGAACTTCTCGACAATGCCGACGACACCACCGACAGCGAAAGCGATGAAGAAACTACGACCGAATCGGCCAAGAAGCAGCTCGCTCAGGGATTCATGCCCAAGACTCGTGTACTGATGCTGACCTCCCGAGGTGTGACATACCGGTATGCTTGATGTCTCCGTCCAGATGGTATATGTGAAATGCGAATGTGATGCTGATATTTTCTGTTTGTTGCAGCCATCGACACCTGCTCGCCGACCTTGCGTCTCTGCTCCCTCACACTCA